GTGTGTTTGTGCTATAAAAGAGAGATATAATACACATATGTGTGTGTATATATATATATATATATATATATATATATATATATATATAAAAATTAGACTGGGAGATCCTGGTGTTGGAGGGGAGGTGATAACTGTATTACCCCCATAAGAATGGGAGTATCCCAAGGGAAGAGACTATATTTATTTCCTTTAATATATATATATATATATATACACACACACACACACACACACACATATACTATAGTCTTCATTTCTAGACTCGAGTTCCAACTTTGAGACTTACTGTGATAAATGGCAAATAATAGTACTGGACCTCTACTTGGCCTGGGACTAAAAAGATAAAGATGAAATCTAATAGAATATGTGAAAACCCACTAGTAGACTAGTTTTGGAGAAATGTGCATTAAGCACTCACAGCAATTTGTTAGACATGTGGATTTCCTCAAGGCACTTTTTTCTAGATTGCGTTTTTCTCTAGCATTTACAGCTCCCTGTTGCATTTTCTTTTTGTCCTTTCTGTTCCCCTCCCAGAACCTCCTTCTTCTGTGTACCTGAGTTTGTCTTGCTGACCTCATTTGTGCTTCTGTTTCTTATTTTCCTGTCTGTTACCAGCTACCTAATATTATCAACTGGTATATTCAAGCAACACTCCAAGAGAAAAGAAAAGCAAAAAAAAAAAAAAAAAAAAAAATACTGCTCTGAAAAGGGAGACAATGCATGTATTCATTTAATCAATGAAAAATGATTATTGAGAGCCTAATATTATCCAGGCATTGTGCTAGGTGCTAGCAATAGAATCGTGAACAATGTAGATACAGCTTTCAACCTCAAAGATAACACACGCTGGTGGCCTTGGTGTTCAAATTGCTCAGAATTTGTATTTTTACATTGTGTACAGATGTGGACCTGAACTAAATATAAAGAGAATCTCTGCATGTAAAATTCCAATATTCTTATTTACCCTAATTTTAAGAGTACTTATATGATTAATGTGAAATAATCTAATGTAAAGACCTAACAAAATTATTAATGGGACATATGAACAAACAGAAATGCTCAGGATGTCCCTTGCTAAGCTAAATCCACCTCATTTTGTCCTTTAAGATCCAACTCAAGTCATACCTTCCTTTGGGATTGTCTATAACTGTCTTGCTCACGTCATTTCCCCCCTGAGAAGTCCTTCATTACTCTTCATTTGACATGTAGCATGCATTGCTCTGCATATTTTATGCATATGCCCTATCTTCCCATGAGACTGTAAACCCTTCAAAGACATAGGCAGAAAGTCACTTCTAGCTGTGCCCTCAAGTATCCAGCATAATGCCCTGCACACAGTACACATTTAATATCAATCTTTACAGGATAAAATCCAAACTCTTCAGCATGAGATTTAAGGCCTTTCATGACCCTGTTCCTGCCTCTTTCTCCAATCTTATCTCCCACCAGGCTCCATTTCACAATTTACCATATCACACCTGTGCATTCTTATTCATGTCCTCTACCTGGAATAGCCTGCCCATATTTATATTTTACCTGGTTAATGCCCCTTTATCTTTTAATACTCAGATCCATTATCATCTTCTCCAGGAAGCCTTGCCTGACAGCCAAACGATGCTCCCCTGTGTCTCAGTGGGATTCACTGTAGACCTAGGTTTGAGCAATTATCACATTACCTGGTGGTGTGCCACTATGTCTTCAGTACTTAGAAGAATGCTTAGCAAATAATATACACTCAATGAATATTTTTTGAGTGAGTGGCTGAATTGTGTCACATGTTTTCCTCCTTTATTTCCTTGGCTTCAAGTGCCGCCTATATCCTGACAATCCCTCAATATTTTAATAAATTAAATTTATGAAGAAAAAGTACAGGCTGCTAGGAAGGCATATAACAAGAGTACCTAATTTGGATTGGGGTGGAAACATCAGAGAAGGCATCACTGAAGATATGACATTTGAACAGAGATCTGAAAAATAAATGGAAATAAGCCAGGCAAAGATAGGGTGGGGTAGGGGGAGATTTTGACAGAGGAATTAGCTAGCAATAAGATCTGTAGTGGTAAAAACCTTGGAGTTTTTGGGAATAGAGAAAAAAGGTTATGTGGTCAGAATGTAGTGATCCAGGGAGAAGACATTGTAGATGGGGGTGGGAAAGTAGGCAGATAATACAGGGCTTCGCTGAATTTATTTGTAAGTGAGATTGGAATTCTTGAATGGTTTTTAGTAGAGTGACAAGATCCATTTTATGATCACTCTGGTTGCTATGTGGAGAATGACTTTTGAAGGGAGCAGAGGGCTAATAGATGTTGGGAAATAAATTAGGACACTATTACAATGTTACGGGTGAGAGTTGATGGTGTGGACCAGGAGACTAGTGGCAGAGATGGAGAGAAAAGAATTGAACTCAATATATTCAGAGGGAGAATTGATAGGGGTGGGTAATGAATTATAGAAGGAAGCATCAATAATAACTTTCTGGTTATTGGTTTGTGAACTGAATATGTGCTTTTGCCACTCACTGAGATCGGGAGAATCCTGGAATAGGGCCAGGATTGGAATAGAGAAGAAATGATAACACCAATTTTGTACTAGAGTATTGTGATATGGTAGTAGATGTCAAGGAGGTAGTAAAATATACTGATTTGGAAATCAGAAGTGATATCTGGGCTAGAAATATAAATTTAGAAGCCATCAGCATGAAGGTGGCATTTAAAAACATGAAAGTGAGTGAAATCATGTAGAGAAACAATTTAGAGGAAGAAGAGAACCCGGAATGAAGCCCTGGGGATCATTTAAAGGGCATGTAGAGGAAGAATGGCCAGCAAGTGAGGAGGAGATAGAATGATAGGAAGAAAGCCATGAGTTCGTATCATGCAAGTAGAGTAGAGAATGTTTCAAGGAGAGCCTGGTAAACTATGCTGAAGATTGTTGAGGGGAGGAAGACAAAGAAGAGTCCATTGTTTCTGATCACATGGAGGACACTGATAACTTCAGTAAAGGCACTTTTGGTAGAGTGATGAGTACACAAGCCGTACTGGAGAGAAAAAGGAAAGAATAAAAGATGAAGAAGAGAAGATACTATGTATAGATAATCCTTTGGAAAAGCTTGGCTCTGAAACTAAATAGATTTGGTGAGAGCTGGAACAGGAAGCTTAAGAGAAGATGTTTGTTTTACAACGTAAAATAATAGAAAATGTTTGAATACTACTAGGAAGAAGAATTCATTAGAAAGGGAGAAGGTGAAGATGCAGGAGACCGGAGGGATATGGTCCCTGCAAAGGCAGGAAGATCCAGGGTCCAGAGCACATGTGAAGAGAGTGGCCTTTGATCAAAGGTGTGACACTTGCACTGTGACAAATATGTACTGAATGTCTACTCTGATCTTGGTTTTGTTTATTTTTTTTAATTATTTCATTTTATTTATTTTTATCTAGCCATTTAAAAAAAAATTTTAATTTGAACTTCTTAATATACTTTGTAGTTGATTTTTGTAACTCTTTACCCGTTCTTCTTTCCCCCTCCTTCTTCCCTCCCCCCCATTTGATTGTACTTATTTGTGAGGGTACAGCGTTGAATATCAACACCTGTGTGCAATATGTGATGCTCAAGTCAGGATAATTAGTATATTCAA